TGCTTTGCCTGGCCAAATCGACGCAGCTCCCCAGCTTATCCGCGCATCCGGCCACGTATAGCAATGCGGAAGCTTGAAGCAGCGTGTAATCCTCCACTGCCTTTAGACGTGTGCCGCAAGGAATCGCAGGCAGTCCCTGAATGGGAGCAGTCTCGACTGCAGAAAGCTCCAGAGCGCAAGATAGAGGTTCCGAGGGCAGCAGCAGCAGCTCCTCCGACTGCTTCACATCCTCTCTCGCCTCTTTGCTCCTCAGCATCTTGAGCACGATGGCTGCATTCTCCGCAGCGCTGTGCGAGTTGACGTGCTTGAGCGGATGTGAAGGCAGCCCAAAGGAAGCTGGGGAGATGACAAAGTGCTTGATTTCCTTGTGGCGCAACTCCCAGACCTGACGAGGAGAGAGAGAGAGAGAGAGAGGGGCTGCATGTGAGCAGAGCTGCCAGCGTTGCTTGAAAGAGGGACCCGTAGGAAGCCGGCGCGACTTACATCAGTCTCGCCCTCTGGACTGATCTCGTCCAGCCCTTCTCTTCCGCACACGACCCAAGCTCGCTCCGTCCCTCTTTCCCTCAGCGCTTCAGCAAAGACATTGCCAAGGTGAGGTGAATGGACGCCGAGGATGCACCTTCTGGGTTTGACGGGATTGATGAGAGGGCCCAGAACATTGAAGAGGGTCGGGAAGCCCAAGGAGCGTCGAATGCTTGCCAGTGGACCCAGAGAGGGGTGATAGAGCGGCGCAAAGAGGAAGGTGAAGGAGAGTTGGGGTAGCAGCGGACCAAGCTGAGACGGAGAGAGGCTCGTCAAGGGGATGCCGAGCGAGATGAGCAAATCTGCTGAGCCTGACGTCGACGATGAAGCGCGTGCGCCGTGCTGGGTGAGAGATGGCATAGCAGAGCATTCAGCTGGAAAGTCAACATATTCCCGTGCGCGCAAGAGGTCGAATGATGGGCCACTGGACACGATTTGTCGCTCACTTTTGCTACGCGGACACCAGGCACGCCTGCAGCGACGATGGCAGCGGTGGTGGATACGTTGAAAGTGTCCTGTCCATCGCCTCCTGTGCCCACCAAGTCTACGTAGCCATCGTACTCTGCTTCTTGCTGCTCCCCAGCATCGACGCGATCCACGCTGCTCCCCAAATCCACCGCTCGACAGAGAAAGAGCCTAGCGGCATCAGCCAGCGTGGATGCTTGGCAGTCCAGCCCTGATATCCTGAGCGCTGTCAAAGCGGCGCCCAGCATGGCGTGGTTCTCGGCATTGGCAGTGAAAGACACGTCGCTCAAGTGCGACAGGATCTTCTCCACCTCATCTCGACCAGGGCGGGGCGGCACGGGGCGTGTATGCGCGGAAGAAGAGGCGGTAGAGGGAGCGCCGTTGGCTGACGGAGATGTGGAAGCGGCAGCTGCAGCTGCACCAGCAGAGGCGGGAGCGCCGAGGGAGAGGACGAGGGATTTGAGTAGAGGTCGAAAGGTGGCCTGCGTGTGCTCTCGAGGCGCAGAAGGCATGCTTG